AAACTACGCATATAATTGTTTACAACCACCACCAGCACAAACAACGCATCACAACTCCTAAATAATTGAGCTCAAACACTCATCATACACTCCACCCACCACTGCCACCACTATCAACACCACCAAACCACCTCGCCACCACAACCACACATCACCACCACCTAGCCATATCCCATCGATTGTAGCCACACGGTATCATTGCGTACATCCAAAACCAGATCCAATCAACTACAGCGACTGTAGCCACGACGGCATCATCGTCGCTGCTCCGACGGCGTTCTTTTCTTCCAGTAAGTTCGCAACAGCGTCAGAACGTCGTCACGCGACATATTCCAGCAATGTCATCTCTTCTTTCTGTGGCATTTTTCGATCCTGGGCAGAGATCTTCGCAGCAGCAGCGGCGCTCCTGGGCAGAGGTCATACGATGATGTACCTTTTGTAGCAGCGTCGGTCTCGTAATCGACGTCGATCATCTTGTAGACGACGCTGAGCACGACGACAGGGCCGTGAGCATTGAGCACTGTGATGCTCTTCTACCGACGGAGCTCTCTTGGCGGCTCAGTGGTTCCCTATTGATGGTGAGAGAGAGAAACGAGATAAGGGAGATGAATATGGAGAAGATAGGGATTAGGGTTTGAATTTGAAATTGTGGTGGGTGGATAGTATATGGGTTAGGTATATAATTAATTTAATTTTATAATTATTATAAATTTAATTTTTCACCTGATTTTTGAAAAAAATAGTTTTATACCTTATATTTGAATTTGAAAGTTTAAAGGTAGGATTTTGTGTAATTATCCCTTTTGACCGAGTCAAGTATAGTTCTATAAAATTAATCTGCCCGACCCGGTCAAGGATCCTGGTCGGGCCAGGTTTTATAACCATGCTTTAATCTCTATCTTTCCTCAATTATGATACACAAACAAGCTCAAAAATAGGGAAGACACGTGTCGACACGTAAATGGATAGTTTGAAAAGAAAAAAAAAATCCAAACAAGTTCTGCCAAGTTAGTCTTTTTTTTTTTTTGCCTGTCTTTGAACCCGTTCATCTTTCTTTAGTATAATCTAGAGCCTCAAGGGATCTATTTGAATATGATTTAAATAAACACAATTTTTATAAAATGATGACAACAAAACTTACAACTTGGAATCTTTATATGTACAAGCTTAACAAACTTATTTAAATATTAAATTTCGTACGCTATACAAGATTTGATGCTATCTTGAAAAAGTTTTCTTATTTAATAATTACTATTATTTAATTATGTCGAGCATAATACATCAAACATAAATGCTAAATGCATTTTTATATATACAAAGAATTAATAGCAGAAAATCTCCCGAACTACGTTTCCATTTGTGATATATTTCTACCTATTGAAAATTGTAGAAAATCCCTTTATTTGAAACATTTTGTATGAAAAACCCCTGTCGTCAAGTTCCGTCAAATTTTTCGTTAAAAATAGTAAAAAAAAAAGTCAAAAATAAAAAGAAATAATTGTAATTTCAGTACCCAAACTTTTTATTTTTTCATAAATTAAAGCCAATTTTTTTATACGTGCCACTTACAATCCCAAATATTTTCAACTTTATTTTCCACCCACCTCACCTCATTTCATCTTCTTCCCCAATACTATGGATTCCTCAATTCCAATCTAGAAGAAAACATTCGGTAAATTCACTTTTTTCTCTTTTTTCCTCTAATTTTTCGATCATTCATGATATCATGAGTTTTANTTACTCTTCTTCTAGCTTGAAGAAAACATTAGGTAAATTCATTTTATTCTCTTTTTTCCTTAAATTTTTCGTTCATTCATGATATCATGAGTTTTATTCAGGATCTTAAATCTCACGACTTAATTCAATATCTGTACCGTGCAAGCGAAATTGAAGGCCAGTGGGTTTCCTGGTACTGCCCACAAGTGTTACAGGCCCGACGTTTTTGGTTCTCATGTCAACTTAAAGTCGAAACCCCAGAAGATGATGTTCCAGTCGGATCCCTATACTGACGCTGTTGTTCCCTCAATTCAAAATCTTCTCTTTCGAGAAAGAATCCATAACTAAAGATATCTCTAATATCTGAAGGAATAACATACAAGGTGATCTTAAATCTACGTAATATTTTCTAATCTGAGACTGCCAAACCAGTTTCATATTC